AAGACTTAAAAACTCATTAACAAAATAAATCAAATAACTTCAAAAACTCAAACATTTATTATTATCCCCAAAATCTGGAAGTCATCATCACAAGAACATCTATCCTCAAATTACTAATCTAAGAGTATCGAAGAAGCTAAAATAAGTAAAAAGCTAGTCCATGCCGGAAGTTCAAGGCATCGAGACATGAAGAAGAAGATCCAGTCAAGGCTAGAAGCGTTAGCTCACCCTGAAATCCGGTGTAATGGAGACTGGCTAGAGTTGCGATTGAGTTGAAGACGACGGCACGTTTGCTGCACTCCACAAATAACAAGAAAAGAAACATACAAGTAGGGGTCAGTACAAAACACGGGTACTTAGATATCATCGGCCAACTCAAAATAGAAAACAATATATATCAGATCATATCATAAATCAACTACAATACTCAATCTGTAGCAACATGTACAAGAATCTTTGATAAATAACGTCAAATACACTCATGAGGACTCAAGCCTCAATACCATACTCATTTGGGAATTAGGTTTTATTCATTCGAATTTATTACCATAATTTCAAGATTCATTATCTTTATTCCTCTTGTGTCGGCACGTGACACTCCGCTCCCCTACTACTATGTGTCGGAACGTGACACTCCGATCCCCTAATTCTACGTGTTGGTTTGTAACACTCGATCCCCTAATTCTACGTGTCAGTTCGTGACACCCGATCCCCTAATTCTACATGCCGATTCGTGACACCCGATCCCCTAATTCTACGTGTCAGTTCGTGACACCCGATCCCCTAATTTTACGTATCGGTTCGTGACACCCGATCCCCTAATTCTACGTGTCGGTTCGTGACACCCGATCCCCTAATTCTATGTGTCGGTTCGTGACACCCGATCCCCTAATTCTACGTGTCGGTTCGTGACACCCGATCCCCTAATTCTACGTGTTGGTTCGTGATACTCGCTCCACTAATCTCATTCTGTTAATTCATCAATCCTTCTTTTATACAAAGGCATCACCATTCTCATTACTTTAGATCATCAAGCCTTCTTCTATACCAAAGCATCATCATTAACAAGGGGTTTTCAAGATTTGGGATTCAATAGCTTCATCATGCTTATTTCATCACAATTATATAATCACATTCATGCAAGCATACAATTAAGCATATAGAAGACTTTACAATACAACCCAACACATATCATTTACTATTAAGAGTTAATTACGAATAGTATAAAAACCATAACCTACCTCCACCGAAGAATTTTGATCAAGCAAGCCAATTCCCCAAGCTTTTGTTTTTCCTCTTTGTTCGTCTCTCTCTAGCAATCGTTTTTCCCTCTCTTGTTCTTTCTATTTTTCTTATTCAAACCCTCTTTCTTTTACCCTAATTAGCATATAATTAAGTATAAAAGATGGCAATAATAACCCACTAATTAACTCAAGGTTACCTCTTTTAACCCCCAAGTAGTTAGACTTATTAACATTAACCCACTAACTTTATAATTGAAGCAGGAATAGTCCAAAACGCCCCCTTAAATTACTTAACAGAAATCCGACCCAGCTTGGGATTACGCAGCCTGTGACGGGCCGTCGTGCCTGTGACGGGCCGTCGTGCCTGCGACGGTCCGTCCTGCTGCTCCGTCACAGAGTTCAGAGACTCCATTCCATTAAAGGGTCTGTGACGGTCCGTCGTGCCCACGACGGTCCGTCCTGCCATTCCGTTACGAAGTTCAGAGAGTCGATTTCAGTACTCAATTTTCAGAATTCTAAGTATTTTGGAACGAGACATCCTCGACGGTCTGTCGTGCCCATGACGGTCCGTCGTGGGTTCCATCGTTTCAGCCAGTTTATCCAAAAATAAAATCTACTGCTCAAAACGACTAAACAGGATGTTACAGTTACACTAAATATCCAATTTTAATTTCAAATTGTTTCTCACTCAATCAAACACATTTCAAACACTAATATGCAATTTTGAATTTTGAATTTCAAAATTTAACTTTCTAAAATTTGTCTGATACATCGTCTTCTTCTTTGATACTTCTTTTTCTTCTTACTTCATTCGAACTTTTGTCAGTTTTTTACTTTGATATTTTTTTGTTCATCGTTTATCTGTCTCATGTTTGTGTGTGTTCCCATGAAACGAACCAGTGCCACATTCCGCTAGGATACTAGCTGGAGTTGCTCTCACTGTAGTGATGAGAGAGAGAAAGTGTGTGTGTGTGCGCGTGTGCGTGTGTGTGTGCGTGCGCGTGTGCATGTGCGTGTGCGTGTGTGTGTGCGTGTGTGCGTCTGAGTCTGTGTGTGTGTGCGCGCGCGCGTGTGTGCGCGTGTGCGTGTGCATGTATGTGTGTGTGTGCATGTGTGCGTGTGTGTGTGGAGTTTTATAGATTTGAATATTTTAATATAGGAAAAATACCCAAGTACCCCCTCAACCTATGCCCGAAATCCCAGAGACACACTTATACTATACTAAGGTCCTATTACCCCCCTGAGCTTATTTTATATGTAATTTTCTACCCCTTTTTAGCCTACGTGGCACTAGTTCGAAAAAAAGTCAACCATCGTTGGGCCCACAAGATAGTGCCACGTAAGCTAAAAAGGGGTAAAAAATTATTAATAAAATAAGTTCAGGGGGGTAATAGGACCTTAGTATAGTATACGTGTGTCTTTGAGATTTCGGGCATAGGTTGAGGGGGTACTTGGGCATTATCCCTTTAATATAAATAATGATTTAAAAACTTTAATTCTTCATTTTAATTTCTAATTTGTTACGTATTTGAAAATTACATTAGAAAAAGTTTAAAAACGCAATGTAACAATTTAAGATATTTTTAGAAAAATATAATTAAAAAACATAATGAAATGTGGTTGACTCCCTTATTTTTATTGAAACAAAAAAAAAGTTGCATATATTGTTTGAAAATAATGTAAGAACTAAAAAGTACTATGAATCACAGTAAAATGACAAATAAAAATGAATCATATAAGAAATTACTTTGACTTTCCTAAAATCACATAAAATAAAACAGATGTAGTAACATATATTATTCGAAAACGACACAAAAGGTACATAAATTAACAATTTAAAATATTTTTTAAAAAAACACATATAAAAAATTTAGTTCACTTTTTCAAATTTCATTTGTGTCACATAAATTAAAAGAAAAAAACTAACATACATTGGGCCTGCGCTAGTGTGGACACCTAATATCTAGTTATATAAAAGTGTGATGGAGAGGACGATAACTGACAAAATAGACATTATATCAGGCATACAAGGGTAAAATTGTAATTATAATTTGGTAGCCCTCATGAAAATTTGGCAAAAGATATTTTATGTTCATTATAGAAGATTTACTTCACTATAGAAGTATCTTCTCTCCACTCTCTCACTCTCCTCCAAAATAATCGCATTGCAATAAGAAAGTATCATCATCTCCTTACTCCTCCATGGCCAAATCCTCGAGTAGTTATCATCAACCAATCGAATTGAAGAACAAATCACACAGAATTTGACTCCGATTAAATCAAACACTTCAAACGAATCTCGATTCACCCATTTTTATGAAAATTCTCTGATTTTTTTTAAACAAGGTACGAATTGATGCTTCCTTTTTGCGTTGTTTGGAGCAAAATTCTTTTCACTTTCTTAGTTGGATGGATATTATGGTTCTATCTTATATTTCTGTCAATCCTATCTCTCTAAATGTTTCTTTTTTGGTATTTATTAAGGGGATTGAAATTACGTTAAATAGTTAGTTTGATCAAGGTGGAAGAGTGTGTAAATTGACTAGAAATTACGTCGGAGAAATTGCAAATGGGTGAGTATTAGAGTTTCTTCAGTTTTGATGCTCTGTTTCAGATCTTTTTGAAGTATAACATGTTGCTTCCTTGATGAAAATGTTTGTCCTTTTATATATACAATAGATACTTATTTATTCAAATTTTATTTAGTTGTTAGAAAATTGAATTAAACAAGAAGCAATTTGTAGCTAGACTGAACCAACAACTTGAATAGGGATTATTTTTCATGTTTTTTTCACTTGACACTTTTATAGTACTTCTTAATTTTAGTGTATGCTCTTTTACGTCAAGAGAAATTCTGCATTATAGGATTTTCAAAAAAAAATTCAATGCTCCATAGAAAATAGATTCAAATAGTTTTCTAAGCTATTTCAAAGTCGAAACGTTGCGACGGAAACTTTGAATCTTGTAAGCTAATGAATTTTATATCTACATTGGCGTGAACAAATGATATGATTAGGAGTAAAATAATAGTGTTGTTTAGTGGGATATTTTGATTATATTTGAAAGTTAATTTTGTTGATAACTTTCAAATTGAAAATGATTAATATGTCTCAGAAGTCGAGTCATCCAATTATAAAATATCAGTTTATCTTATAAACATTGATATGTTATACTAGAGGCCTTGAACTTCTCTTTTGCAAGTTGTCAATTAATGCAAATTTCTCCTAGATGAAACTTATATATTGTTAAATTTATAGCTCTCTAATTTTTATTTTTGCACCCCGTCAGGCCAATTGAGTGCATTTGACAAGATGGAATAAATATTGGTTGTTACAGGTAAATTACTAATTCATTTGACAAATTACATAAAAGAACAATTTTTTTTAAACTTTGTGTAGAAGCTTTAATTCATGTCATCAAGAAAGATAAAATATGCATTGAGGCTCATAAAAAGATTGTTTCCTTAGTTTGTAGTTACTACTTGAATATGTATGTTAGTGTGTCAGTTATTTTATAGGTCTGGTATTTTATATGTTCGTGTGAGAACTCTTTTAAGTTTCAGGTATATGCAATTCTTATTTGTGTTTTATATTGAGTACATTTGGTGCAATGAGTTGCCACTGTTTACTATGTCAATCCTAACAAAATTAGCATATTCATTCCACATATTCTTTGTTTTGGTGTATCTATCTAATTTTAGTTTGTACGAAGCTTTAGGACATACAAAGAGAGCAATATAATAGTCCTATGCGTAAACTTATAAGATGACTATTTGAGAGTATTTTTTCCTATATTGCAGCCTGCAATTTTCAATACTAAATTTTTTTGTTAATAGGTAGAATTAAGTGCAGAAAAGCGAATATATATTGTTATAATTTGTTTTTGTGACATGGCACAATGTATTTGATAATCCCAAATAGTCTTAGTATGTCTAAACCTATCCTCTTCACCCAACAATTTCACATGAAGACTAAATTGGGTATATATATTGTTGTATGTTCAGTAGTAGTACTTAAGTAGAACGAGTTACATTAAACCTTAAACATACCAAAGTATCTAATAGTTTTAGTTTCATACCTCATTTGTTATGCTAATAATAAGTATACAAAAAATCAATTGCTTCATCACTTCAAGAGGTGAATTGTTGAGAAGCGAGTGCTTTGGCAAAGCGATGTTAAGTATGAAAACATATTTTATTTATATTTTTAGCATTTAAAAAGGTTTATTTCTAAATGAAAAGAAGTTTGACATCAAAAGATTACATTTCACATCTTCTCCAATGATTGAATTTCAGGTAAACGTCTTTTTTATCTTCTTCTACTTCTCCATCTTGCTATGTTTTCTTCTTCTTTCTTCTCCAACGCTCTCTATTGTCTGCGAAACTTGTTTTTCTTTTCTTTCGTATTCTACTTTCTTCATCCTAATTTAAAATGTAACATGTAATTTTGATCAAAGACAATTCAGAAGAAATTGATCACAACATATAAGATGCTTTGTTAGTGTTTGATTTATAAATGTAAGTGTAATTAGTACTTTCACATATGTAAATATTCCACTACAACATCCAATAGTATGACGTTTGCAAAATATATAGACATTTTGTAGTTACTATGTTCAAGATAGTAATATTTTAATTTACTTTATATAATAGTGTTTATATGTGATTTGGTCATTTAAATTAATCTATCTTAGACAACAAATAAGACTACACGTTGGCATATTATATTTTTTATTTCTATCTATTACATAAAAGAGCCATGATTAGGACGACCAATGGAAATATTATAATTTTAAATATTTTTTAAGGGCAAAGCTATAACTTTATAATTGTACAATTAGTGGTCAAAATAATTTTCTAGAAGAATTCAATAATATTTTTCAAGAGTCACAAAAGATTTTGTTTCATGTGTGACTCCACATAATCATTTCATTTAATTTTTAAAAATTAATTTGTAGTTGTTTGATTATAATAATGTACAAAATTTTTATATAATTTAAATAGTTCATATATGTTTATTGCTACTACTACATATTCAGTATAACCTATCATCTTCCATAATGTAATTTTCGTTTAAATTATATAAAATGCTTTTTAAACATAAGTATTCATATCGTTTTAACAGAAAATGGTCAAAAATATCCTTAAACTATTCGAAATAGTTCATATATATCCTTAAATTATATTTCGGCTCAAAACTCTCCGTCCCGTCTAACTATTGGGTCAAAGGTGCAATTCTTATTAATGGAAGTTGTTAAATGTCATGTGAATGTCACATTGCACGCCAATAGGGTTCCACTGCCACTTAGACTAAAAGGAAAACGGTAAAAAAATACTCTTAAACTATCTGAAATAGTTCATATTGACTCTTAAACTATATTTCGGCTCCAAACTACCCTTTCCGTCAAACTATTGAATCAAAAGTGTCTTTCTTATTAACGAAAGTTGTTAAGTGCCAACTGAATTCCATATTGCACGCCAATAGGGTTCCACTGCCACAGACTAAATCCTTAAGTCTTTACTACTCTTTTTTCCCCTCATTTCATTATTTTCCATTAATGATTTTGCTCCTTCTCCCTTATTTCGCGGCTAAGAGTTTTAAAGTTTTCTTCGTCACTGGGTTTCAAAGTGGATCTTCGTGGTTGTAGGTTAGTAAATTTTTTTTCTTATTTTACCTCCAAATAAGTACTTATTTAATCTCCAAAATAAAATTTGTTTTATGTTAATAATTGTCACTTAAATAAGAAAACAAAAATATC